ATGTTGAAGATAACTTTTGCTGTGATTTTTTTACGCAGATACGCAATTTATACGCGCGACTACGGCTAGTCTGCGGCGCATATACGTGCAGATGACGCGCGTTTACGGCGCCACTGAACTTGTGAACGACTGCAAATGTTTACTCGCTGCGACTGTATCGTGTTTTATTTTTTTAATTTGACCCGCACTAGGGAAACCGCGTATAGCCATTGCCATGGACATACACATAGACAACCACAAACTACACCCAAACTCACGTTTGAATCGCCACGCGTTATCTACGCGCAGTTGGCGCGTATAAAATACGCCGTGTGCACAGGTTCTAATACGTCTGCTAGCCGCGACAAGCGGCGAATCCACATACCTCGTAGCGTATCTTAATAGTAGAGAGATAGCTGATTCGTTGATAGTGTATTCACCGCTTTTAGTACACTATTCCGAGCTTTTAGATTAATATAAATATGGCGACATTTTGCCAATAAATTCAATCCGGTTCCAACTCATACCTGGTATCATATCCGGTACCTGCACATAAACTATCACCGAAGAGCACCTAAACAGGCGTAAAAGTATTCAAACATCATTAAACGACGTACTACATCGGAACCATTGTCATGTAAATTTATGAAGCGCAAATCTAAATGCAAATTTGCCTAAATTATATTGCGAATCTGCCGTGAAATTAATTAGAAAACGATATTGAACCGATAGCCACACGGCAAATGGCTTGGAAATTAAAATTTACCGACTTTCATGCTCGATCGACGATGAGAGTCAAATATTATTGGGAGTAGAGATTATTAAGTAATTGCTTTTTAATTTGCAGATGTCTTATTACGACTTTCATTGGAGTCAATTTTAAATTGGACGACGAGAAGTCTCAATACTGTCTAGTAACTAAATTTCCGTTAAAAATTATTCGATACTGGTAAATACTTTTATGTCGATACTGAATACCAAGGCAGCTACTAGACGGACTGCACGCGCGAAGTAGATAATATACAACTGCATGCAGTCGACACTGACTGCAACCAGTTACCGCCGCACGCCTAGCTCAGGACAGGTGCTTGGTGTAACGTTGAAGTCGAAATGGAAGTACAGATGTTACTTGTAGCGTGTAGAACCTATAGAGTTCGTCCAGAGAAGTACTGCTACCTTACCTATTTCTGCCACCTAGCAGTAATCTGAGCATTACTGCGTTCCGGTTTTGAAGGGTAAGGTTACTAGTGAAATTACAGACACATGGGACTTGTCGACTTTGCTACAAACCCTTCTACAAAAATTTCTCAGGGTGACGGGCGTAGTGGCTGCCCCAGATCTTTGTGATTTAAAGCTTTGAGTGGCACTGCAATTGTCATGGACAGACGTGTCACTTACCACCAGGCGCACGACTTGTTCGTCCCGTCACTTCATATCATAAAAAAGGCTATTATACTCTGCGGTGCAATTTGCTATCAAAAATGTCAACAAAGATGCCGTTACAAAAAAGTATTTTAAGAATTATGTAAATGTGAAACAAATCCGTCGAGAAAAGTATCTCCAATCGCGTTTTTGTTTTGCCATTATGTTAATTAAGCCGTTATGTTAATCAATCGTTACTTCCTATTTTCAAAAATGTCAATTGTTGCTTTTAATTCTCGGACTAGTTCACAACGACTGCAGCCGAAGCCTCGACTGCACACATTACCTGACGACATGTAGTCCATCTGTTAGCAATTCAATTCTTTATTGCATTTACCATAGTGTTACATTAGCAGTCTTAATATCGATACTTACTCAGTATCGGATACTTGTTCCAAATAATAAACAAACTTTATTAGACCTCCTTGTGAAAGAGTTCGTCCAGGGAAGTATTGCCACCTATTGTTTACAAAGTAAGGATGTAATATGGAAATCTCTTATTATTTTAAATAGAATCTGGATTTTGTTTAATTTTATTAATTTATTTTAATGCAAGCATTTAATGCATTATGCATTTAATAACTATATTATTTAATGGCCTTTAAAGTCTTAAAAATGTATATAAAAGGATTTGAATTTTTCCTATTTTCTGATTTCTATTTCACCGACTAACTTCGTAAACGCTGTTGGATAACGATATCGTATCCGAATCCGAAAAGAACGTTAAACTCGGAATGTTCTGAATAGCTCGGAAGGCGCCATTCGATTCGAGAAAGATATGCAATCGAACGATTCGTTTAAAATATCGAAGAGTTCTGAATCGGGGTCCTGGTAAATTACAGGCACATGTGACTTGTCAACGCATATATATTTCAAGGTGATCGGCGCGGTGGCAGTGGTCTTCAAATCTTTGCGATTTAATGCTCTGAGTGGCACTGCAACAGTGCCTATGTATACAATCTTGTCGCTTACCACGACGATTTGTTCGTCCCGTCACGTGGTATCATAAAAAAATACTCCCTAAATAACGATCATGTATTTTATTTATGAATACAAATGTTGTATATTCTGTAAAAGTTTCGCAATAAACATAATATATGACGTAATATTTTAGAGATCGAGATATTCATAAATATGACATCAGTAAAAGCTGCTCATGATATATTTTGGTTACATTCCCATATTTGGATGGCAAGGGATGAAGGTTAAGGGTCAGACCCTCGATTTAGACACGTGTTTAAATTATATAATATTACGTCAAGATTGTTCTTTCATAACGGATTTAAAAAATAAACAATATTCAATGTCCAGTTTTTTTTTATATGTACAATTTAGTAGATACACGCTTGGACACGATCTCACCTGATGGTGAGCGATGATGTGACTTGTCCGTCTCGTCACTTGATATTATAAAAAAAATCGAAACGTGCACGTTAAATTCTAAAAGGATACATGTTGCGGCTAAATTTCCGAAAGAAAACGACCAGAGCATACGATTTGGCGGTCATGTAGTGAATTAAGAGACGGAATCTGTGCTTAGTGAATATCCAAACATGTATATTCTGCCCTGCTAAGCCGAAAGGCGCTATCTCTGAGATACTTTTAGTTTTTTTAGTTTTTTTTTTTATACCATTCCATAACTATAATATTTTCACGTTTAATGGTATAATAGAAATAGCGCTATCTAACTTACCACATTGAAAAAACCACTAAGAAATATTTTAAATAAAATACAATTACATAAAATGCAATTTACAAAAAGTCGATTTTCCCAAAACTTACTCAGATTGAGATATCGCTTTTCGGCTTATCAGGGCAGTATTGCAAAGACAAAATATTAATGGCTGAAGCTCTAAGGGTCGTATTCTAGAACTCTACTCAATGCTCAAGTCAGGATTTGAGTATGGTTTAAAGCACTCGAAATCATACTCAAATCCCTGCCATTAAGGTCGTATTTCCAGTGCTTGTGTTGCCAGTGCAATCCTGACTTAGGCGTTGAATAGAGTCCTAGAATACGACTCTTAGAATTCTGTTTTAATTAGCGACGTACTTTATACGCTCCAACCTTTATCCAAGCAACATGTAATACTCGGTTTTAACTTACCGTTCACATAAGTGTACCTGCTTTAGGTACCTAATATTAGGCTTCTTTTCTTGAAACAGTAAATTATTATTTCATCACACTTGCTCGTAAATAGTATGATTGCATGGTGGTTAACTTGACTGTAATGCCCCAAATAAAACCCTCGGGTGTTTTTTCTTTCGCCGATAAGGAGTTTTCTTTTTCATTTGTAGCACGACATACTTCCTTATAGTCAGGTTCAAGTTCAAGGAAGGAGTTACTAAAGTTCAAAATTAAAATATTCGCTTAAAATGTTACCTATAATTATTTTTTACAATCCATCATGGCTGTGATCGTGTTTACCTATGGAAGAATTTAACGAAAAAAACCCACCATTTGCAAAGCCATAATTTTGTTCTGAACCATATTTATATTGCATTTAAATCCTCGCAAATGTGATGAAAAACATTACATTTAGGTATCACGGACGGTAAAAAACAAAAGTCGAATTATTAAAGCCCTCAGCCTGCGGATTCGGGCTTTTAATAGACCCTCGTTGGTAAATTCTTCTTTATCATCCTTATATACACAATGTACTATTTATTACTATTACAAATGTAGTAACATCAAAAAACTTTACAATAATGTCCGTAAGTTTCTATAAATAATAATTATTAATAATCTATAATACACAAAACAAGATTGAGAACTAATTTATTTTCGAGAAAAATAATTTATATTAGTTGGTTTGTAATTTATTCCAATTTACTTTTATTAAAAGAAGGAATACCCGGCAAAGCAATTTTATTAATAATTTCAATTTATAAAAGTTTGACGGAAATTAAACGCCGGAAATTTTATTTGAAATAAAAAAATGGCAGATCAGTATATTCGGTACTCTACTTATGTAGGTGTTCTTCAAAAAAATGTTGTGTTGGCACCTTTGATCATATGTTCGTAGGTTGAGGTAATATTTCAATTTTAAGATATTTAAGTAATACCTTACAATAATAACGCATAGAGTGATAGTTACATATCAAACGAACTGTCACAAGTGAGGCAAAAATGAAATTCATGTAGGCTAGTTGTAGTAGTAGGTTAATTTTCGGTTTTAGTGAATATTTATATAAAAATACAAGTTGAAACGCGTTACTTTCTTGTGGAATGTGATGTTAGTATCTATTTTATGTTTGTCTGACGTATTTTTACACTAATTTACCGCACATTTCGTCATTTTTAGCTAAAATTCTTGATCTGTTCGCGGTGCAAGTTGACCTTGAGCACTGAAGGCCCGCCCGCTCGTGTAGGCCCATTGGGCGCGCTTCAATTTGCCTCACTTAGCGTGTGCGGACTAGGTTTCTATGCGTTATTATTCTAATACCTGGAAGCATTACCTAACTAGTTTGACTTTGACTTGGTGTACCTAAGTTTGTAACAAACACAGGGCCTTGTCCGAATTCACGACGTCAGCCGGAAATTGTCTATGACAATGCCTCCATTGGACAATCTTATAAATTACTCCATTTACGTTAACCAGGAAAAAGCTCTCGCGCATTGGTAGCAGCTCCGCGATGTCAACTCCTCGGAAGCGGTTCCGCAGCGCAGTCACTGCTGCGCGGTTCACCATCTTCCGCGCCAACCGCGCGGGCAAATTGAGAGCTAAGAGTTTCGCTAAGAAGGAGAAGAAAGCCACGCAGACTTTGGCTATTGTGCTTGGTAAGTATTAAGTCATAGATTCATAACATCATAAACGACTGTAATTAGAACTATCCTACCTAATCATTCATAAAACCCAATAATTTAAAGTTCTCCTCGAACAATCACCTTTGTTTTTGACTTCTTTGTCTTTTTTCTTTATGGTCGCTACCAATGGCATTCAGTAGCGAAGAGTGGATGTTCTCAAAACAGAAATCAGTTCGAAGATTCCAGCAGAAAGTTGATTGTCGAACAGCCTGTATTAGAAACATATTTCTGTATTTTGTCCTTTATACATACAATAAATAAATTTAAAAAAATTAACCCCGCACTATTGACTTACCCACAACTTATTCAATCACAAACAAAATGCACGAAAACACCAATAACCACAGACAATCGCTGAAACAATTATCACCAAAAACACGAATAATTCGCTAGCACGTGCAAATAATTAGCCCGCCATTATTAATTCCAACAAAAACAAAAAGTGTTATACTACTAATTAGAAGATGTCGCACTTGCGCTACCATAATTATGCAACTTACGCTCTTTACAAGTTTTACAACCAACAATAAATATAGCTATCTTGCTTGCACCTGTGCACACTTTCTCATAACTCGTTCTCAACCACGACAACTTTTTTTTTTTTTTTTTTAAACCACGACAACCTACCACATTCGACAGGGTATAAGATGGTAGGTTTAATTAATACCGACCAACAAATAAGGTCATCTATTCCTAAGAATAATAGACAGCTACTCAGTAGTCAGAATTTTACTATGTCAAAGACACGCGAACAAAACAATCAGGGAATTTGTGTGGGGAAACTATAACGTTGCGTAGCTAGATTTTACTATAAAATAGCCAGCCGTTTCATTCGTTCAAAATTTACACGTTCATCGCCAAAGGCCTCTGAGGCAAAAATCGTGGGAATCACATTTTTTTTTTTGTACATAAATAGTTTCCATTTGTATTAATTCAGTGCCCACGTCATTCATTTTTTTTTTTTCATTTGTATCAGACACGGTAGCCTGGCTTGGGAGCTTTTTTTTCATACATTTAGCTATATGTAAATAAAATAAATATAAGCACTAAAATATAATGATTGAGTCATTGACTTACAATTATATGGACGTCGGTTCCGCGCTAAAAAGTGTCCGAACTTATAGGGCGTTAAAATCGTATACAGAACGCCATTCACGCTTACAGTCTTCGTTTGTTCGACTGACAGCGAAGCAAGCAAAACTGGACAGTACTGCGATGACATTACAATTTAAATTCAACGTTTTAGCTTTTTCATATTCCTTTACATGTCACTACGTTTAAATAGGTTGAGTTGGGACATTTTTTTCGTGGTTTTTGTATTAGACCCGTCGACCATTTATTTGTAAGTCAATGGATTGAGTAAACAAAGTAATAATTTATAAGTTAAGTTTATTATATTAATTTGATGTCATTCAATAAATTAATTGAGTACTTTTTTTTTAAAAAAAGGCAATTCAAACATCGTGACATTCAATAAACTAAAAAAATAATTATTCTTAAAGCGACATCTCTAGTCAGCTGTTGGTAATTGTAAAGATGATACCTCTGGCTGCGTGAAGAAATGGATTGCTCACAGATACCTACGCCAAAAAAGTCAATAAAAACTAAAAACATAGATGTGCAACAAGCACACGGAGGAATTCGTAAGGTTCGCTATTTCGTTCCGTAGCTAGAATAGCGTCTGGCACGGTTTGGTGGATGACGTAGGTTCGAATCCAGCCGGATCGAAGAGTTTTCTTCGTACTGTACGTTTTTTTTGTATTAATAAATAATTGTAATAAATACATCAATATTAAAAAAAGTTCTCGTTAAAGTCTCGCGTTCAAGTAGTCAGTAGAAACTGCATCGCAACGATATCTGTAGTAAGTAGATTTGCTGCATGGTGAATTTTTGGGCCTTTACATTGTTGTAAGCAAAATTAAGCAAGACGGTAATGATAATATAATTTAAATTAAAATGTTTTGATTTATTTAAATTCCTGTACATGTACCTACGTTTACCTATATATTTAAGTCAACTTTGGACATTTTTTCGCAATTTTTGTATTAAACCCGTCGTCCAATTATAGATAAGACAATGTCTCTCTTGAAGAACTCCTTACTACACCGTTCACACAATCTAAATTTACGAAGTCATTGTTCGAATTTGCAGCTGCAATGCGCAGTACATTTTAACACGCGTAACCGGTTCAGTAAAAGACTGTTTGTCTGTTCAAAATAGCAGTAAAAAGGTCATTCAGAAATGTCGCAAACCAAGTAAATAAGTGCAACTTGTGTAAATATTTGGTATTTACAACTGTCTGTTTTTTTTTAAATATATAATAGACACACGCTTGGTCACAATCTTAACGACGATGTGACCGACGATGAGACGCGTTTGCCTAAAAAATGCCTATTCACTCTACCCTTGAATAGCCCCAAATTGTACTTTTCGGGAAATACAGATGCATATTAGAGCATTCCATTCCTTTGTCGTACTTATCAGAAAGGAGGAAGCAAAGCGCTTATTGCGAATAGGTAGAATATCAGCGACATAAGAATGGAGTGCTCCGGACCTTCTAGTCGACCGAAGGAGGAACGGTGAGGGCGGAACCAAATTGAAAAGTTCCTGCGCA